AAAAAAAAAAAAAAGAATTGTTTTCCAAGAGTCTCATATAATTATTAAAGATCATTTAGTGAATGTGGTGGCATAAGCGTTTCCTCTTTCAAACTGTAATCTGCCATCTGCCCATAGGCCTGATGTTTCTCATTATATCTACCTCCCCAATAATGTTTAGTTATCCAATTAAAAAAATATAAATATGCTTTTGGTGACTATCATTTAAATTGTCAACCTAAAAACAAACCAGTTCAAGGGATAAGGCGGTTGTTTGGGATAAAATGATTGGGGTCAGGGGTGTACAGATTTAGGTAGAAACCCAAATAGTGTACTGATTAAAGGAGGTGGCCTCAGGGTTTTTATGGAAAAAAAAGTTTAGGTAAGTTTTTAAAAAAGAGCTCATTGGTGCTGACAGGCAGGGCTAGATTTACACTTCATTCATTGGTCAGGTGAAGTAGTCACTAGTCAAAAGTTCATATTTATCATCATGCTTTTCAAACAGGATTTTCTTGTTCTTGCCGACTTGGAATGTTGGCAGTTTGGCTTAGTTCAAAGATTCAGAGAAGGGGACGTGTGAGGCAGTTCCCCTGAAATGGCTGCTCCTGCTCTATTTTAAAAATGTCTCTACTTATGTCATTTTCTCAAAATTGGAAATATTTCAGTCCCAATTTGACGTCCTGATTGCTCTTTCTGTCATCAACAAAATCCCTCATTTTTGTAAATATAGAAGTTTTTTATCTTTATAGATGCTAATGCATGCTAATAAGTTGAGATAAATAATTGTATGACTCTTTACAAATATAATAAGAAATCTAAAGAGGAAAAATCATATATAAATACTGTTAGGGTGGCAAAGAATTGCACGAAGAGTAGAGCAAGAGGCAGGACAGAGTTTATTTACTCTCCACGGGAGGAGAGGGGCCAGATATCCAGAGAGATGTCGCCGGGACTTCTTTTGGGTTGGGCCTTTTAAAAAAAAATTTTTTTTTTAAGTTTGTTTATTCATTTTGAGAGACAGAGCAAGCAGGGTAAGGGCAGAGAGAGAGGGAAGGGGGAGAGAGAGAATCCCAACCAGGCTCCAAACCACCAGCATGGAGCCCAACACGAGATTCGAACTCACAAACTGTGAGATCATGACCTGAGCCGAAACCAAGAATCAGAGGCTTAACCTACTGAGCCACCCAGGCGCCCCTGGGCTAAGCCTTTTAAGGGTTTTGTTTGTTTGTTTTTCTTCTTTAAGGATGTGAGAGGGTTGCACCTGTACCCATGGTGGGTGTGGGGAGGTGGGGAGGGGGTCAATTCTTGTCCAGGTAGAGCAGGAGGCAGCAGGTTTCTCCTGGGGCTCTGTCTGGGGCTTGTCTGAGATGAGGGTTGTGGTCAGGCTAGAGAAGAATATGTTTTATAGTTGGGATCTATAGTAGGGAGGGCCCTGTGACCTAGGGAAACAAAGAGTCAGGGCCAAGTGCAGCCACCTGTGAACTTTGTCTGTAAGCTTGGCTGGGGGTGGGGGTGGGGTTTTTGAATAGAGTCATTTCAAATACAATTCTTAAAAAAAAACATTGTTTTATTTAGCTAGAATGCCTCCCACTCAGGCAGAAAGTGTTATAAAGAATATCATTCGAGAAATAGGACAAGAATGTGCAGCCCATGGAGAGACTGTTTCTGAAACTCTGGCAGCTTTTATGGTAAGAATGAATATTTTTTTGAATTACTGCTTTATTAAAAAATAGCCTTAAGTGGTACCCATTTCTCTCTTAAAATTCTGTGAAGTTTTCCTAAATGTTATTCAGTTGAAAACATTGAGACCATTGAACAAGTTAGCAAAAAAATGTTTTTCAATGAAGCATGTCAGTTCTAGATATATAGAAACTGATTTAGAAGATCTTGATTGGTTTTGGAAACATCAATTATGTCATATGTCAGAGTTTTAACGTGTATTTTTGTTCACCTTTGTAAAAATTACTCATTGCCTTGGTCTCTTTGTTCTTGCTTTTGTTTTAATGATACACAATAAAAATGTGATAAAATATTCAAATAGTTTCCCTATCTAGAGTCTACTCACTGCTTTCAAGTTATTTCTCCATATAATTTTTTGAACACCATATTCAAATTTGATGTTTATTGCTTCCTTTCTTCGACCTGTAGTGAAGGTGCTGATGAATTGGATGATAATAAAATCAGCTGAATAATCGACCCCTGAGTAATCAGGAGGCAGCTGTTTAAAAAATGGAAACAAAATAGTTTCATAATTATATGAGATAAAATGATTTAATAGATTCTTTCCTATTCACAGGTGAAAGCTGTTGTCTTGGACCCAAGTAATGGCTTTAACATGGATAGAACCCTCATGAAAAGTGACGTACAGAAACTTGTTAAGGTGGTTATACAACAGTTCTCAAATTTTAAATTACTTATTTGCAATTCTGAATACAATATTTGTGTTAGCCATTAGTGCTGTGCTTCATGAAATAAGACCCTACCAACTAGTGGTAGAAACAAGTGTGAGATGTATTGTTTCTCATAAGGTCTAGAGATACACAGGTTGTTTTTCCTGGCTTCCTGGGCCACCATCCTGTATAGGCTTTCGTGCAATGGTTATAAGATAGCTGCTCCATCTCTAGGTAGGTGTGAGGGAAGAGGGCAAAGGGCAAACTGTGTGTGCCAATTGGGTCTGTCACTTTCTATTAAGAAAGTAATAGCTTTCTCAGAACTTTTCTCTTGTGCTTACATTTATTGACCAGAATGATAATGCAAGTGAGCCTGGGACATTGATTTCTTTTTCTTTTTTTCAACAGAACAAATCTTTGTCCCAGTCCAGATTGGGGCTATTAGGAAGGATGGGTATGGATATTGGCAGGCAGCGGTATCTCACAGTATTTTAGAGACCTTTTGTTATTAATCTAATGTTACATTGAAAACATTATTATTTTTTAAGTTCTTTTAGTGTTTATTTATTTTTGAGAGACAGAGAGACAGAGTGCGAGCAGGGCAGAAGGAGAGGGAGACACAGAATCCAAAGCAGGCTCCAGGCTCTGAGCTGTCAGCACAGAGCCCGACGAGGGGCTCGAACCCACAAACTGTGAGATCATGACCTGAGCCAAAGTTGGGACGCTTAACTGACTGAGCTACCCAGGCGCCCCACATCGAGAATATTATTAACTGACTTGTCATACAGTATAAAATTACATAGTACTAAATTAAGATTCATATAATTATTGATTCAGTGTAATTTGTGCTTTTCAATTCTGAAGGAAAAATTGAAGCTCTAGCAAATAATTCATAGTTAGAAATAAAGTATATTTGCCTGAAAACTAGTTTTAGGAACCAAAGAAGGTAGAAATTTTAGACATCATTAGTTTTTTCACGTGTTTTAAGTTTGACTCACTTGATATAGGTGCTTACATATTTATTTTCTAAATATTCCTGAATGTATTTCCTAAAAATTGAACGTAATTTTTTTCTCCCAGGCTTAATGATTTTAATTTTAATTCCCTCCTTCACACAAAGGACTTTATAAACAAGGTTTCCCAGGCTGGTGTGTGGATATTTCCTGGGCTCAAGCAAATGGCAGAGAAAATTTTCATCACCCCATCACCCATCGTCTCTCATAGCCAGCAATTCACACAGTGGAGCACAGGTCTATATGCAGCTTCCAGAGGGATCAGGAAGAGCTTTGGAAGCCTGGAGCTGGGGAATATGTTAGGATGATTCTGCAGTAGAGATGCCATGATTACGCAGGGCAGCCTAGAGCTGGGTCTTTCTGTGATGATTGTCTGCCTGTCTGTCTGTCTGTCTGTCTGTATTTTGAGAGACAGAGAACGTGAGTGGAGGAGGGGCAGAGAGGGAGACAGAGAATCCCAAGCAGGCTCAGCGCTGTCAGTGCAGACTCTGACTTGGGGCTTGACCTCACGAACTGTGAGCTCATGACCTAAGCCAAGATCAAGAGCAGGTCACTTAACTGACTGAACAACCCAGGAGCCCTCTGTGCTGATTTTAAATGTGGTATGAAACCTGTTCTTAGCAATAGGGGAAATGGCCATGATGGTCGGTCAGAAATTTTATTGAAAAGATCTGGAGGAAAATCAAGGAGAGACAGAAAATAAATTTTTCTCTTTTTCAGGGCTCAAGAAGAGTTTTCTTTTTTCCTCTAACTCACCCAAGTTAGAAAGAATCAAACTCAATTTACTTTTTTTTTTTTTTTTAATTTTTTTTTTTTAACGTTTATTTATTTTTGAGACAGAGAGAGACAGAGCATGAATGGGGGAGGGTCAGAGAGAGAGGGAGACACAGAATCTGAAACAGGCTCCAGGCTCTGAGCGGTCAGCACAGAGCCCGACGCGGGGCTCGAACTCACGGAGTGTGAGATCGTGACCTGAGCTGAAGTCGGCCGCTTAACCGACTGAGCCACCCAGGCGCCCCAAAACTCAATTTACTTTTAATGTGACAGGTACATAAATTATCAATGTACATCTTGCTTCAGAGGACAAAGATTGTTTCCTTTTTTTCTCAATTAAAAATCATGTGGATGAGGTAATTTTTGTATTTGTGAAGGAAGTTTGTTTTTAGAACAGTACTTTCCCACCTGGAGGGATCTAGGTGCACAGGCTCCATAAAAGCACAGGGTCCAGGCCTTGGTCTTATATTCAGTCTCCGTCCTCCCAGGAAAGCAGGGTTGGTGCTCAGGAAGGTGCAAGGAGGGTGTTGCCGCTGCTACGTCTGCTGCCTGCATATATAAAGCCTAAGGGGTGAGATAGGAAAGAGAGAAAGAATTCAGGTTGATCATCTAATCTAAAGGGGCAAAGCAGAGAAGTAGAATGGGCCATCTATGTGGGAGGAAAATGGGAGAAAACAGACCAGGGGAGGAAATTTTGAAATAGAAACCAGAGCCAGAGAGATTTTGTGAGAGAGGAACAGCCTTTTATAAAATAAAAGTAACCCCCAAAATCAGCAAAGAAGGAGTGTTGCTTAAGAGGCTCAAATAAATAGTAATGAGGGGCTCTAGATGAGCTCTGGACAGGAGCCTAAGCTTCGTGGAGCATTTACTCATATCCAGACTGGATAGACAAACCAAAGAGTCAGATTTCTCACCTTTGACTAGACTATTAGCCACCTGCATATGGTGATATTGCTGATCTCAGGGAAATAACTTACTACTTCTTAAACGTTGTGGTGGGCTAAACTGTGAAGCATGAAGTCCTCAAAGAGCAAAATAATAAAAGGGGCTATTGGTGGATAAATATCAGAAACCATTGCTTTGATGTTTCTCTTAATTTTTGAAAATAACTGTAGTAAATACTTACATGTCAGAAAATATAACCAGAAACATGGGATATTCTTTTCTAGCTTTGTGTATCTCGGTTATTGGATAGTAAAAATCCATCCCTGGACACCATTAAGATGCAAGTCTACTTTGATATGAATTATACAAGTCGAGGTAACATATCTACCTATTTTGATACCCTTTTTAAAGGATTCATATTGCGTTGCAAGTAATAAGGGCTTCATTTGGTTGACAGTGATTCATTTAATTTTTTAGTCTATCTTTTGAAAAATTTTCCAACTTTGAAGAATGTAATGAAGGTGGATATGCTCAATGAGAAAAACATTAATGGCCTTTGTGAGTGTTAAAAGTAAAGTCTAATTATTATGCCTATGATAGTTATGTTTCCAAGTCCATTGTGCTTTAACCATTTTATCGCTTACACTATAATTAGAAATTAAAACAATCAGCCCATTGAAGTTAAGAGTTTCTAATTTGCTGATTTTTTTGTTTTTGCTTTGTATTATCTTATAGTGCTTACCTAAATTAGGTAACTATCCCAAAATGAAATGAATGATGGGAAATTGAAGTTTAGAACTTATTTCCTTATGTAAGTAGTTTACTATATACATCAAAGGTACAAGAGAAAAAGGAAAATAAATTCCTCTATAGACTAGATTCCCTCTGCCCCACTGCAATACCATTATTATTAACCATTTGGTGAAGTGTATTGAACTTGCAGTTATGCTACGTATATAAATTACATATCTTGCTTTTTTGCTTCATAATAATGAAATTTTAAAGTGATAATGGAATTGATGAAATTGTAATTTAGATTTTTAAATTTCATAAAGTTCTCAGTTGTTTTTGTGGTAAGGGTATAGATATATACTGTACATGGTTGGTATGTTAATTTTTGCCCTTGTAATAGTAAAATGGGATGTCTTACTGAGTTAGTTGCAAGAATTGTCCTACGTGAATTGTGGTTTCTGCCACAATTAGGCCTAGACCTCACCATATCACAGGAAGAGGGGAGAGGGATATAATTCTCAATGCAACATCAGATTATCAGTAATGCTATTCAAAGTAAATTTATCTAGACCTAAAATAATCGAACAGGAATATTTACATATATGTATATTTATACTATACATGCTTGCATATAGTACACTACCTGGGCTTACATGTAGTGTAAATATATGTGTGTGTGTGTGTGTGTGTGTGTGTGTGTATGTATATATATGTTTCTAGTATGTGTGTTTATAATATATATATTATAAGTTGTCTCTTATGCTTTTCCTGCTTAATTAGGAGGTTTTAGCCCTCTTAGATATTACTGTTGGGTTGTCTGTTGAAAGTCTTATGTATTTTGAAAAAACATGCCATTTAAAGCCCTGTAATAATCTTTCCTACTAGATTTTTGCCTTGAGGTTACTTACTGACCACTGTTTATTTTTTATTGTGATTATTACATCTTAAGAAAACACTTGTTTTTGTGCAATAGAATTGCCATACCCAAGCTATTTTTTTCCTCTGGTCCTACTTTCTTCTGTGATGAGAATTCTAAGTCAAATATGTGGAACATTGTCCTTTGCCAATTTTAGAGGAATTTCTTGAAGAACATCACCGAATCCTGGAGTCTAGATTAGGCTCTGTTATCAGAGAAATTACAGATAACAGAGCATGCACTAGAGAAGAATTGGAAAGCCTCTACCGAAAGATTGTCAGCTATGTGTTACTACGTTCTGGGCTGGGATCCCCTACAGATATCAAGGTTGTCAGAGAGGCAACAGGTAAAAAATCTGTATGATTCCCATTCCATATGTGAAAAGATATGAACATTGTATATCTCGTAAAAGCTGTTAAATTAAAAGTATTGAAGACTGAATTTCCCTTTTTATCTGGAAAAAAAAATCAGCACAAATAAGAGGTTAAAACTTAGCCAGATTCCTTTTACAGTGTTTATTAACTCTAAAACCCAAGTAGCACCTCTGGAAAGTGCATATTGTTAATTTTCTTGGAGCTGCACATGTCCAGGGATCCATCATTCCTCACGAGAGAAACACTGGCAGCGTGATTAACAGTGCCAGGCTGATCAGGTAATGGGGACTGTTGGAAAGGGAGATTTCATATTGATTAAAGGCGTTGCATTTGTCACCTAAAATGGATGATGGAAAAGGACGCTGTTTTAGCCTCAGGAAGTATTTGCCCACTTTGATAATTTAAGGTAAGGAAGACGCAAGATTTCTAGTCTTTTTTGGCTTTCTTCCACAATTATTTTAAAGCAGTGATTCTTCTATTCAGAATTCTAATTAGAAAGCTTGTTTTAATGCCCATTGTCAAAAATTACTGATGGGTGCTTAATTATTGAAAATAGACACAAGGCAATGGCATTATTTTCAGGAGCCCAGCTTTGACATGTGATAAGTGTTGTTATATATTCTGTAACCACGTATCAGAAATGCAAAGAATCTATAAGTAGCTCTGTAAGGACAGGCCTCTCAACTTTCTGCTGAAAGAACGCTATAGTTTAGGATCTGATATCTTTATTCTACCATTTTGTTGTCCTTTTTGTGGTTTGTTTTAGCTGCCCTACAGAGTATTTTCCCTCAGGCTGAGCTTGGGACGTTTCTAACACTTTCTAAGAAGGACAAAGAACGCCAACTGAAAGAACTTACCATGGTTGTTACCGGGATTCGTTTATTTAACCGAGACTGTGGAAAAGGAGGAGAAGGCATTGATGACTGTAGGTATATCCTTAGGTTAAGTCTACAAGTTATGCAGGTTTAAAATCTAACCTGCACAGTGAGGAAAATAACGTACAGTACTCCGCTGGCATTCTTAGATTTAAGGTGTTCAGTTTTGACTCTACCTTAGGCACAACTACTTTAATAATGGATGGTAATTTTTAGTTTTTCTGGGGCAAGACTTGCAGTATTATAAACCACGAAGCTAGTGGGGAAGAGTGAATCAGTAGAAGGAATGAGGAGCCTGCCTCGAGGCCAGCCTCCTTAATTCAATGGGCTCTGTGTTCTTTATTCCAAGTCAAATAACCAATTAAAAAAATAAAAATCACCCTGAAAACAGTGGCTGATGCAATTAACAGAATGCAAAGGTATAAGAGGGGATATTTGCAAATCTGCAAATCCAGGAGCATTTACTGTGCTGTTACATACTTAATGCATTCACCATCTGTAGGTTTGAAAGCACTCATGAAACACTTGATTAGGGTACTCAGTAGAAGGAACTTCCTTATGAATTTGATATACATGTAGGCCCACTGAGAAGATGTTAGTATCTTTTTACCAGATCACTTATCTAGTATAACAGGGTCAGTTTTTCTGTTTTAAAAACTGTTCTAGAAAGTCAAGTTTCCACTCTTTATAAAGTTCCTTATCTTGCTAGACTGTTCTGTTTTTTTCGGTATCCTGATGAGTTTCCTTTTTTTTTTTTTTTT